TGAACTTGAACAACCTAACTGGTCTCTCCCAAAGTGTTCACTCAAACTCCTCTTCAAAAATTCCTCTCTCCAACCCCTTTCTCCACCTTACAAGGGAAGGTATTAAAAATGCTTATTTGTCCCCTAATTAAGCCCTTAAGATAAAGTCTTAAAATCTCTCATTCAGATTAACTGGGTTTATACTACCAGACCCTGGTGACCCGCAGTAGCTTCACTTCGCACCCATCTTCTCCCCGGAGCGCTCTCTCTTTCGGTAGAACTGAACTCCTCTCAGTTCTTAGGGAAGTCATCACTTTCCCTTGCTTGAGTTCCTTCACACAGAATGTTCCCCCTCAGAACCCCTTTTGCCTCTCTTAGCTTGCTCTTTCCCTAACTCCGAGTTACCCTTTAATCTCTGCTTCTCACTGTCCACGTCTTCTGTGTGGCTCAGGCTGTTTCCACTTCCTTGGCTCAAACTCTACTCTCTTCTTGTTTTTCTGTTGACCAGTCCTCCTCCTCCAGTGGAAGGCGCTACATGAGGCCGCCCTTTCTGCTCCTTTCCGTTCCACCAGGAGGAATCAACGGCGACAAGACCCAAGGGAAGGGAGAACAAAATGAAGGAAACCTGGGTCCCTAAGTGACCACACATAACAAAATTACCTGCCAACCTGCAGCCCCCACTTCAACCCGGACCATTGTTTCCGATTATTATATATGTGAGCTTTATGCTGACAGATATTCTCAGTCTTGTCAGGGCTACCCAATGCTGAATTAGGTTCCCTGGTAATCTCCTGCAGCATCCGCCATGACTTCTGTGCACTTACCACACATACATTTGTGTTGATTTCCCTTATTAATTTAACAAGTACATAGTGTGTACTATGTGAGTGCTAAGAGCTGCTGGAGACACAAAAGATATTGTGGTATTTAAGATGGGCATCTCATGGGCTTACATTCTAGTGGGGAGAGAGATACTTCACACCAGCAGCTAATAATGAGAGAGTGCTATGGTGGAAACAAAACTTAAAGAGGTGCAGGAGATAGTGTGTGCTGGAGAAGAAACACGCTAAAGCAGCGGTTCTCAACCTGTGGGTTGTGACCCCTTTGGGGTCCCAACAACCCTTTCACAGGGGCCACCCAATTCATAACGTAGCAAAATTACAGTTATGAAGTAGCAACAAAAATAATTTGATGGTTGGGGGGTCACCACAACCCGAGGAACTGTATTAAAGGGTTGAGGCATTAGGAAGGTGGAGAACCACTGGTCTAAAGCCAGTGGGTCAGGGGAGCTTTCAGAGGCTACAGCATTTACACTGCATTTACATTGAGATGGAGTGACAAGGAGTCACTCCTGTCAAAGAGAACAGTTGGAGCAAAAGCAAACATTCCTGGTCCATTTGAATAAGAAACCAGTGTGGCTGGAATATGGGACAAGAGGCAACATAGGAGAAGAAGGGAGGGCCCAAAGAGGCAGGCAGGGGCCAGATCATAGACTGATTTCAAGGCCATTCTGGATTCTATTCCAAGAATGACTACTTGTAATTATCTATTTAAAACTTGATTCCTAAACTGCCAGTTCCCTGAGGGCACGCAGGGTCCTATGCAATCCGAAACAGCACCCATCACAGTGGCTGGCTGGCACACAGCATGCCCCAGAGGCTTGCTGGGTGGCATGACTATGACAAGAGTATAGGAAGCACCTCTTGATGTAAAAATGTGAGGGGATCTCAGAAGCAGCTTGGACCAAATTAGACAAAATCCCTTGATGGGATACAAGGTGGTTTCTTTGCATGAATATATACTACATACATTATTAGTGTTCTAAGTATAGTGACACCGATTTTTTTAAAAAGCTTAAAACCCTAAGGATATCATCTGAATCAACATTCCCCACCCCCTTTCCTGTAGCACTTCCTTTATCCGGGAACCAAGCGAAACATGCCAGTTCCTCAACTGGTATGCAAAAAACAGGGTGTAGAATAGGTGTTAGCAGCTGGTGAAGTAACTCTACAAATAGTTTTCTCATATTTTGGTAAACTGGCCAAAAGGTATTTTCCTTCCAAGCTGGAAACTTTTTTCCTAAATTTCAGTAGTTCTCAGATTTATTTGGAGTGGCAAATCGATAGCAACATGACAAAAGCAAAGCAAGTGCTCTGTATTTGTTGAAAAAGATAATATTTTAATGGAGCACAGGGCAGTCTACAAGGTCTATAAAGTTTAAAAGAAAGAAAACTGTACCTCTAAAGTTTAGACAAAACCTATCCCCTGCAGTCTTCTGAAACCAAGTAATTGTTAGTTTACCAGGTCAAGAACGTCTGCCTTGAACATTATGCTCAAGTTGCCTATAGGGATCGAATTGGACAACTCCAAAATTCCCACAGAACCTTAGGGGGGTGCATTTACATTAATGAGAACAGAATAACTCAGAAGAGGAGTCTGAGAAGCTGCAAGCTCAAACTTTGTAAAGAGTGTCACTGAACATGTAGAAACAGGTGGATTGGTTGGTGGTGATTGCTGTGTTGTGGATATTTTCAACAAAAAATAAAATTGGCGTGGGGGGGGGAGTTTCCAGCTAAATGAAAAATATATAGTTTAACAAAACACAGATCAATATAAAACATAGACAGAAGTAAGATAGAACCCTGTTTAACTCTGCAAGCAGAGGCCCAAGAACCTAGTAAGGTAGCAATGGTTTGGCAGCTGAACGGAGGAAGGGACTCTGGGAATAAGATACCTTTTGCCAGTATGTCAGGGGGT